TGTTCTCTTGATTAATGCTTCTTTCTGGATAGCTCTCCGAGTTTATATTGGGGAACCTAGTAGCTAACTCCGCCCACAAATAGATAGCCTCCGGCACTACCAAGCCACTCCTTAAACGTCGGCTTGTTTGAAGGCTACCAGACTACAATTAAGAGCTTAGCGGAAGCAAGGTGAAATTCTCATGATCTGACCTCAGGTCACTTGAGGTCATTAACGCTTTGAGGTGTGAGATCTCAGGCAGACAACTGGCGCCTCTCAGATCCTTGTCTGTGACTCATGTACTCTATATATATTTTAAATAAACTAACTCAAACACTTTTACAGTGTTACATCTCCCCTTCTCCCCGAAATAAAGTTTTTGCAACACTGCTAAAGCAAGCTAGCTGTGTGCAACAACTTTATTAACGAAAAAAAATACATCCTAGCTAAACAAATATACATCATCCTACTCTAAAAAATGAAATATATAGACAGACGTCCATTGTCTCTGGCTGGGCGACGTCACTGCTTGGTCTTGTAGATAATCCTGTACCACATTTCTTCAACACAACTGCCTCCGTCGCTTCTCCGTCGTTAACGCACAACAACACTTGGTCAACCCGAAAGCCGTTACTACTTGAACTGCGCACAGGACCGTGGAATTCGGTTGTCCCAGCTGATCTGTAATTGGCCCTACGTCAGTCACCATGAGAGACGTATATTGGGGTTCTTCACAGCTATAGGGACTACAAGTTTCGAGACCTTCATATAGTTGCCAACAGTAGAAATCCCATCCTACTCTTCTTCCTCCCTGTTGCTCCAGCACGCCTCCTTCAGAGAGCTACTTCTGACAGCCACATCAAGTCCGCATGACACAGGAAGAATCACTCAACAGAGCAACATGCTTGCAGGAGGGGCGGCCAGTTAAGGCAAACGATCCTGTCTTGCAATTACGCTCCATGCAATGATGCTGACACCAGCAAGGGACACTAGGTATCGTGTCTCAGCTTGTCTTATCTTCTTCTTTCTTCTCTCTTCTTTTTTCTCTCTTCTTTCTTCTCTCTTCTTTCTTCTTCTTCTTTCTTCTCTCTTCTTTCTTCTCTCTTCCTCCTCCCATGGGTCTTTGACAAGCGACCTGGGGTCCATTGGGGTCCGTCCGTCCTGGGGTCCATCCTGGGTAGACCGATGTTGGTGGGACAGACTGGAGTCGTTGTTGTTCCTCTTCCATCTTTACTGGGTCGTCTGGGGTCGTCTGCAGAACGACCTGGGGTCCACTGGGGGTCTGTCCGTCTTGGGGTCCACTGGGGTCCGTCCGTCCTGGGGTCCACTGGGTAGACCAATGTTGACTGACCGAGAGGGCTGCATCTTGGGGTCCCCTGGGGTGGTGGTGGTGGTGGAGCCATGACCTCCAGGTAGTGGGCTGGTCGTGGTGGTGGTGATAAACGCCCGTGAGTATGGTACACAGCAGCCGTCTCCCTCTTTTGTATGTGCGTCTCTCCTCTCTTCTGGCTCCCACCTGTGGATGAACAGAAAGGCGACAATACCGTGTTCCATGATATGTTGTGTGACCCTGTAGTTTGTATAGGGTTTACACAGTCCAGTTATACCGCTCTCCTCCTGGCAACAACTACACTTAAAATTTTTTTTTTTTTTTTAAATAATCCAATTAACTCTGAATGATACTGACTTGGTGGAACATAAGACAGTAACAGAGGAAAGTTAGAGAAGAGAGAATAAGGTCATCACTACTTTTAACTTGTCACAAAAAAAAATCAAAACTAATAGACAAAACACTAGCCTAAACTTAACTGTACCGTTCCTAATCTTAAGTACATAATTAACCGTTACTCCCACCCTTAACCTACAGCCACCTACGTGACCCAGAGTGTTTCCCTAGCTTCTCCGCCGGTAAACAACTCCAAACTGTTGCCACCCCTGTGACCAGACTATCTAACGTCGAGCGTCCCCAACGTGAAGTCTACTGACATACTAAGCCTCCCCCTAGTATGCTGTACAATACCAGTACACCTCGGGTTATTGCGTTCAAATGGAGTAAAACAGTCGATCGCAATAATCTGAGCAGAACCACTACTTAAACTACTTAAGAACTACACCTGCCACTCCCCACTGACCTGGAGACCAGCGGTGGCTGGGTGTCCCCGTGGGACATGCGAGGTCACCTGTCACACTCAGCTGACCTGCACTACCAACACCGCTAAGTTCCCAAATCGCCAAATCTTATTACTAACATAAATCACTACACACGCAAGTTCTGGTGAACATTCCCTGAACACCACAAAACTCACAAAATCACTAAACACAACACCAGAGAATCACTATCTCCTAACCTGAAAAAAGTTCGCTAACTCGCGAATATTAAACACCTGTCAAGATCTCCCTGATAGCGCCTGAGCGGCAAAAGACACGTGGGACTGAACAATGTTAAAAGAACACCAACTACCTACAACATTGTTCAACACCGCTGCCAACATTGTAACGGGGGGTGGGGGAAATAACTCTATCTTGTCCATTATTCCACCCCCCAGTTAACTAACGAGGCCGGGGGAAACAGCTCTCTCTCTAGTCCGTTATCCCGTCCCCAGTTAGCTAACTATTCTAGAGCACCCTCCAGAGTTCCTAAGGCAACCTCTCTCGTTCAACACCTTGTAACCTAGGTATTTGACTACCTAGGTGCTAAGACTACAAGGCGCCGTCACTTGATCAGTTACCCGAAACTCTAGAGAGAACTCTAGAATACAGAATCATTGCCACAAACGTATAAGAGAAAACGAAAGGAAAGAAATGAATAGTGAAGTAATTAGTGAGGGTTTGGGGTGAGAGGGAGAGAGGTGGGAGGGGCGAGGAGGGTCATTAGTTGAAAGTGAGAGTTTAGAGAGGGGTGGAGGGAGAGGTGTAGATAGGTAGAAGTAGAAGAGTAGATAGTAGAAGTAGAAGAGTAGATAGTAGAAGACGAAATGCTGCCACCATCCATTCATGATCATTACATACAAGACAAGGAATGGAACTTGTCTGTATCACAATATTCACCAAAGATGTTATCATGAGATCATTATTAGTAGTTCCCATCTTTATCATGTACTCATTCTAAACCATGAAACCAGTAACCACAGAGGCTTTCTCACCTCAACTCAAATCTCTAGGGAACAAAGTTAAACACAATTTAAATAATAAATTCATAATTATATTTCCCATGAAGTATCATAATTTAGCAATTAAATTAAAATGTTCCAGTTTAATATGCAAAGTGAGTCATCATCCAAGAATTCGAGAACCCTACAACTTGACTGCCCCTGATCATCACACAACATATGTAAACACGACCAAGTCACCTTAATGTTCACTCACCGAGGACTGAGTCTAAGTTGAATAGAGAGGGGGGGGGGGGGGGGGGTCTGTAGTTGACAGAGACACCCGCCCTGCCGGCCGACAGCCACCCTGCTCTGCTCGTCTGCTGTTCTCTTGATTAATGCTTCTTTCTGGATAGCTCTCCGAGTTTATATTGGGGAACCTAGTAGCTAACTCCGCCCACAAATAGATAGCCTCCGGCACTACCAAGCCACTCCTTAAACGTCGGCTTGTTTGAAGGCTACCAGACTACAATTAAGAGCTTAGCGGAAGCAAGGTGAAATTCTCATGATCTGACCTCAGGTCACTTGAGGTCATTAACGCTTTGAGGTGTGAGATCTCAGGCAGACAACTGGCGCCTCTCAGATCCTTGTCTGTGACTCATGTACTCTATATATATTTTAAATAAACTAACCCAAACACTTTTACAGTGTTACAAACCCCCCAGTGTGCACCATGTGGGCAGTAACCCCTAGTGTCCACCATGTGGGCAGTAACCCCTAGTGTGCACCATGTGGGCAGTAACCCCCCAGTGTGCACCATGTGGGCAGTAACCCCTGCAGTGTGCACCATGTGGGCAGTAACCCCCCAGTGTGCACCATGTGGGCAGTAACCCCTGCAGTGTGCACCATGTGGGCAATAACCCCCCAGTGTGCACCATGTGGGCAGTAACCCCTAGTGTCCACCATGTGGGCAGTAACCCCCAGTGTGCACCATGTGGGCAGTAACCCCCCAGTGTGCACCATGTGGGCAGTAACTCCCCAGTGTGCACCATGTGGGCAGTAACCCCCAGTGTGCACCATGTGGGCAGTAACTCCCCAGTGTGCACCATGTGGGCAGTAACCCCCAGTGTGCACCATGTGGGCAGTAACCCCTAGTGTGCACCATGTGGGCAGTAACCCCCCAGTGTGCACCATGTGGGCAGTATCCCCCAGTGTGCACCATGTGGGCAGTAACCCCTGCAGTGTGCACCATGTGGGCAGTAACCCCTGCAGTGTGCACCATGTGGGCAATAACCCCCCAGTGTGCACCATGTGGGCAGTAACCCCTAGTGTGCACCATGTGGGCAGTAACCCCCCAGTGTGCACCATGTGGGCAGTATCCCCCAGTGTGCACCATGTGGGCAGTAACCCCTGCAGTGTGCACCATGTGGGCAGTAACCCCTGCAGTGTGCACCATGTGGGCAATAACCCCCAGTGTGCACCATGTGGGCAGTAACCCCTAGTGTGCACCATGTGGGCAGTAACCCCCCAGTGTGCACCATGTGGGCTGTAACCCCTGCAGTGTGCACCATGTGGGCAGTAACCCCCCAGTGTGCACCATGTTTGCAATACCCCAAAGTGTGCACCATGTGGGCAGTAACCCCCCAGTGTGCACCATGTGGGCAGTAACCCCTGCAGTGTGCACCATGTGGGCAGTTACCCCCCAGTGTGCACCATGTGGGCAGTAACCCCTGCAGTGTGCACCATGTGGGCAGTTACCCCCCAGTGTGCACCATGTGGGCAATAACACCCAGTGTGCACCATGTGGGCAGTAACCCCCCAGTGTGCACCATGTGGGCAATAACACCCAGTGTGCACCATGTGGGCAGTAAACCCACTCCCCAATATACACAAATATTTCACTCAGATTAAAACACAAATAAAACACTGCAGTAGAAATTTCTTGTTTATTTGTAAAATATTATCTAAATACTCTGGTATAAATAGATCTGACTGCATCTTACCATATGAATGTATGAAAGCTAGACTAGGTAAAATTATAAATATCATTGCATTTCAACTGGTAAATTAATATGGCAAATAACCCCCCCCCCCCCAGCGTCGTATCACACTTAACGCTGGTCGAATGGTCGTTACCTGTGGTCCGTAACGAGGAAATACAGTTATTGGTAAGGTATTCATTCAGTGGGGACGAGGACGACCACGAGGACGACCTCAAACTTGTCCTCGAGTCATTATCCTTCACAAGATCCGGGTGGAGTAGCACACTGCATCTAGATGCTATAGTCTAGTAGCTCACTGCATCTAGATGCTATAGTCTAGTAGCTCACTGCATCTAGATGCTATAGTCTAGTAGCTCACTGCATCTAGATGCTATAGTCTAGTAGCTCACTGCATCTAGATGCTATAGTCTAGTAGCTCACTGCATCTAGATGCTATAGTCTAGTAGCTCACTGCATCTAGATGCTATAGTCTAGTAGCACACTGCATCTAGATGCTATAGTCTAGTAGCTCACTGCATCTAGATGCTATAGTCTAGTAGCTCACTGCATCTAGATGCTATAGTCTAGTAGCTCACTGCATCTAGATGCTATAGTCTAGTAGCTCACTGCATCTAGATGCTATAGTCTAGTAGAACACTGCATCTAGATGCTATAGTCTAGTAGCTCACTGCATCTAGATGCTATAGTCTAGTAGCACACTGCATCTAGATGCTATAGTCTAGTAGAACACTGCATCTAGATGCTATAGTCTAGTAGCTCACTGCATCTAGATGCTATAGTCTAGTAGCTCACTGCATCTAGATGCTATAGTCTAGTAGCTCACTGCATCTAGATGCTATAGTCTAGTAGCTCACTGCATCTAGATGCTATAGTCTAGTAGAACACTGCATCTAGATGCTATAGTCTAGTAGCTCACTGCATCTAGATGCTATAGTCTAGTAGAACACTGCATCTAGATGCTATAGTCTAGTAGCTCACTGCATCTAGATGCTATAGTCTAGTAGCTCACTGCATCTAGATGCTATAGTCTAGTAGCTCACTGCATCTAGATGCTATAGTCTAGTAGAACACTGCATCTAGATGCTATAGTCTAGTAGCTCACTGCATCTAGATGCTATAGTCTAGTAGCTCACTGCATCTAGATGCTATAGTCTAGTAGAACACTGCATCTAGATGCTATAGTCTAGTAGAACACTGCATCTAGATGCTATAGTCTAGTAGAACACTGCATCTAGATGCTATAGTCTAGTAGAACACTGCATCTAGATGCTATAGTCTAGTAGCTCACTGCATCTAGATGCTATAGTCTAGTAGAACACTGCATCTAGATGCTATAGTCTAGTAGAACACTGCATCTAGATGCTATAGTCTAGTAGAACACTGCATCTAGATGCTATAGTCTAGTAGCTCACTGCATCTAGATGCTATAGTCTAGTAGAACACTGCATCTAGATGCTATAGTCTAGTAGAACACTGCATCTAGATGCTATAGTCTAGTAGCTCACTGCATCTAGATGCTATAGTCTAGTAGCTCACTGCATCTAGATGCTATAGTCTAGTAGCTCACTGCATCTAGATGCTATAGTCTAGTAGCTCACTGCATCTAGATGCTATAGTCTAGTAGAACACTGCATCTAGATGCTATAGTCTAGTAGCTCACTGCATCTAGATGCTATAGTCTAGTAGCTCACTGCATCTAGATGCTATAGTCTAGTAGAACACTGCATCTAGATGCTATAGTCTAGTAGCTCACTGCATCTAGATGCTATAGTCTAGTAGCTCACTGCATCTAGATGCTATAGTCTAGTAGCTCACTGCATCTAGATGCTATAGTCTAGTAGCTCACTGCATCTAGATGCTATAGTCTAGTAGAACACTGCATCTAGATGCTATAGTCTAGTAGCTCACTGCATCTAGATGCTATAGTCTAGTAGAACACTGCATCTAGATGCTATAGTCTAGTAGCTCACTGCATCTAGATGCTATAGTCTAGTAGCTCACTGCATCTAGATGCTATAGTCTAGTAGAACACTGCATCTAGAAAACTAGTTACTTGGCCCTCCTATTTACCCATCTAGAAAACAGTTCTACTCTTCTGATGAAGTAATGACTCGACAAATACCCTTTCACCTGTTGCGGTACAGGCAAACTAAACTGTCCATTCCAAAATCGATCCTGGGCAAAGTTTTGCAAAATACATCAATATATTCTTTGTCTTTGGTGAAGCTTTGCTATCTATATTACAGAGGTATATGAATAATTCACAAAATTATTGTTCACGTGAAGGCGAAATGAGTGCATAAACAGTACCAACACTGGCAGAGTAACGTCCTTAAATGGTACAGCATGAACAATTATATTTCATACACTGCATGGAACAACTGCCTTTGCATCAACTCATTGCATAGAAGAGCAAACTGTTATATAATACATTCAGTTTGTTGACAGCCCTGAAGGTCTGAACCGAAGCTGATGTGCTTCCTGCACATACTAGTTTCAGAATGATTCGTACCTTGCACCTTGCTCTCTCTTACAGCCATTCCTAAAATATTTTTGACCACTTGGAGCACACTATAGTGACCAACTTGTGAGTAAATTCTTTAGATCCTTATTGTTACGTTGCGGCGAGTATGTAAGGAGGTACTGAGCTAATCCACTATAATTAGGAGCTGTTTACATTCATATTAGCATCACAGGGGTAACGTCATCTTTATTTTGGTCAAAAGGCCTCTTAGTAAGCCGTGAAGATCAAAGGCTATAACTGCGCTAAGTGGCGGCAGCTTGAAGGCATCAACAATTTATATCTAAGGCAAAGTTAAAACTTAAAGGCGAACTTATTTCAATGTTAGGCAAATAACATGGTTGATATTATTACAAGTTTCAGGAGACGGAAGAAGTGATCATTTTATACATACAAACTTTTGTCAGGCGGAGACAAAAAACAAAAAATGAGTGCAGGTGATTTTTAGGCTGAAGTATAGTTTGGGTTGAGTGCGTGGGTTGTGAGTGGGAGCGCGGGCGTGCGCGTCGGGGACTAGCATCCATCAAAGGTCAGCTGAGGGGCGGAGCCTCAATTATACCACCTTGCCCGCCGCTGGTAACTACGTGGGCGCGCATGGGCGTTGTCATTCAGAGGGACACTAGTTTGGGAGGCACAGAGTCTGGCGAGGATAGGTCAGAAGAGGAGGAGCGCTGCTGAGTGCCGCAGTTGGAGGTGGCTGAGCCTGCAGGAGCGGACACAACTGGGGTGGTGAGCGGCGTGAGACCCGTATGTAGTGGGGTCAGCCCTGTGCCACTTGTCACCGGCGTCAGCCCTGTTCCACCATCCATCATAGACTCGAAGTTAAGCCCGCGCAGCCCGGCCGATGGCGTCTCAATCGGGACACCCAGATCGGCGACGCTCGAGGTCCGCAGGGCAACTGGCGCCACGTTGAGGCTAGTGGGTCGCCTGGGACGCGACTCTCCCACAATAATTTTCTTCTCGCTTACAAAATCTTCCTCTTCCATGGGCTCTTCCTTCACGATGACATCTTTTTTCAAGATGCGGAGATGCGCGTTGGAATTGGCGTTGACAATGGTGTTTGAGGTGACAGGAGCGACCTGCTGCCGGCGACGACACACAGCCTTGTGCGTGGCCAGCAGGAACTCCAGTTCATCTCGCTGCTGTTGCAGAAGTTGAATTTCTTGCTGCAACTCTGACTTCTTATCTTCGAGCTCGTCCGTCTCGTCCTGCAACATGTTCGTCTGGTCGAGCCGCCTCTTGCGACAGCGAGCGGCCGCCAGCTTGTTTCTCTCGCGGCGCAGCGACCGTCGTTCCTCCTCTTCGGCTGACAACTGTATCAAAGACAACAAAACATGATATCAAGATTGATGAAGATTGAGACTAAGTCACCCAAGAGGTGGCACAAGCATGAGTAAATGACATCAAGATGTTACATCAATTCGTAGTGGGTTGATTGTGGGACTTGGGTGAGGGGGAGGATATTCTTGGGGGTGAGTGGGGGGAAGGAGGGTAAAGAGTGGGGGGGAGACGGCGTCCCGTCTCCATAAACACTAGAGCCCGCCAAATTTGACCTTGCCAACACCTGTACCTACGCACGGTAACGCTCATTCATAACTCGTCCGTGACTCACACAACCGGTTACAGCCCGACTCATCGCCCAGGGGCCACCTGACAGTTATGTAATCATGGCTACCAAGCGTTGACTCATCATAATGGTTTCACACTACCAGCTATAGCAGTGACTCACCACGATGAGTCATCACCAGCAACAACATAGTGAGTAGAGGAGGTTTCCAGCCGCCAGCTGGGGCAGGTGACCCACCTGCCCCAGCTGGCCCACTACCACACCCTTCACTGCCCACCCGCCCCACTCCCAAACCCTTCACTGCCCACCCGCCCCACTCCCACACCCCTCACTGCCCACCCACCCCACTACCACCCCCCTCACTGCCCACCCGCCCCACTCCCACACCCTTCACTGCCCACCCGCCCCACTCCCACCCCCTCACTGCCCATCCGCCCCACTACCACCCCCCTCACTGCCCACCCGCCCCACTCCCACACCCCTCACTGCCCACCCGCCCCACTCCCACACCCCTTCACTTCCCACCCGCCCCACTCCCACACCCCTCGCTGCCCACCCGCCCCACTACCACACCCCTCACTGCCCACCCGCCCCACTCCCACCCCCTCGCTGCCCACCCGCCCCACTCCCACACCCCTCACTGCCCACCCACCCCACTACCACACCCCTCACTGCCCACCCACCCCACTCCCACACCCCTCGCTGCCCACCCACCCCACTCCCACACCCCTCACTGCCCACCCACCCCACTTCCACACACACCCAACTATGACTGGTACAAGGGCCCCCACCATGACTGGTACAAGGGCCCCCACCATGACTGTGGTACAAGGGCCCCCACCATGACTGGTACAAGGGCCCCCACCATGACTGGAACAAGGGCCCCCACCATGACTGGTACGAGGGCCCCCACCATGACTGGTACAAGGGCCCCCACCATGACTTTGGTACAAGGGCCCCCACCATGACTGGTACAAGGGCCCCCACCATGACTGGAACAAGGGCCCCCACCATGACTGGTACGAGGGCCCCCACCATGACTGGTACAAGGGCCCCCACCATGACTGGTACAAGGGCCCCCGCCATGACTGGTACGAGGGCCCCCCCACCATGACTGTGGTACAAGGGCCCCACCATGACTGGTACAAGGGCCCCACCATGACTGTGGTACAAGGGCCCCACCATAACTGTGGTACAAGGGGCCCCCACCATGACTGGTACAAGTGCCCCCACCATGACTGTGGTACAAGGGCCCCCACCATGACAGGTACAAGGGCCCCCACCATGACTGTGGTACAAGGGCCCCCACCATGACTGGTACAAGGGCCCCACCATGACTGGTACAAGGGCCCCCACCATGACTGTGGTACAAGGGCCCACACCATGACTGTGGTACAAGGGCCCCACCATGACTGGTACAAGGGCCCCCACCATGACTGTGGTACAAGGGGCCCCCATCATGATTGTGGTACAAGGGCCCCCACCATGACTGGTACAAGGGCCCCCACCATGACTGGTACAAGGGCCCCCACCATGACTGTGGTACAAGGGCCCCACCATGACTGGTACAAAGGCCCCCACCATGACTGGTACAAGGGCCCCCACCATGACTGTGGTACAAGGGGCCCCCACCATGACTGGTACAAGGGCCCCCACCATGACTGTGGTACAAGGGCCCCCACCATGACTATGGTACAAGGGTCCCACCATGACTGGTACAAGGGCCCCCACCATGACTGGTACAAGGGCCCCCACCATGACTGGTACAAGGGCACCCCCACCATGACTGTGGTACAAGGGCCCCCACCATGACTGGTACAAGGGACCCCACCATGACTGGTACAAGGGCCCCCACCATGACTGGTACAAGGGCCCCCACCATGACTGTGGTACAAGGGCCCCCACCATGACTGGTACAAGGGCCCCCACCATGACTGTGGTACAAGGGCCCCCACCATAACTGGTACAAGGGCCCCCACCATGACTGGTACAAGGGCCCCCACCATGACTGGTACAAGGGCCCCCACCATGACTGGTACAAGGGCCCCCACCATGACTGGTACAAGGGCCCCCACCATGACTGGTACAAGGGCCCCCACCATGACTGTGGTACAAGGGCCCCCACCATGACTGGTACAAGGGCCCCACCATGACTGTGGTACAAGGGCCTCCACCATGACTGGTACAAGGGCCCTCACCATGACTGTGGTACAAGGGCCCCCACCATAACTGGTACAAGGGCCCCACCATGACTGGTACAAGGGCCCCCACCATGACTGGTACAAGGGCCCCCACCATGACTGGTACAAGGGCCCCCCCCCCCACCATGACTGGTACAAAGGCCCCCACCATGACTGGTACAAGGGCCCCCACCATGACTGGTACAAGGGCCCCCACCATGACTGTGGTACAAGGGGCCCCCACCATGACTGGTACAAGGGCCCCCACCATGACTGTGGTACAAGGGCCCCCACCATGACTATGGTACAAGGGCCCCCACCATGACTGGTACAAGGGACCCCCCACCATGACTGGTACAAGGGCCCCCATCTTGACTGTGGTACAAGGCCCCCCACCATGACTGTGGTACAAGGGCCCCCACAATGACTGGTACAAGGGCCCCCACCATGACTGTGGTACAAGGGCCCCCCACCATGACTGTGGTACAAGGGCCCCCCACCATGACTGTGGTACAAGGGCCCCCCACCATGACTGTGGTACAAGGGCCCCCACCATGACTGGTGCAAGGGCCCCCACCATGACTGTGGTACAAGGCCCCCCACCATGACTGTGGTACAAGGGCCCCCACAATGACTGGTACAAGGGTCCCCACCATGACTGTGGTACAAGGGCCCCACCATGACTGTGGTACAAGGGCCCTCACCATGACTGTGGTACAAGGGCCCCCACCATAACTGGTACAAGGGCCCCCACCATGACTGGTACAAGGGCCCCACCATGACTGGTACAAGGGCCCCCACCATGACTGGTACAAGGGCACCCACCATGACTGGTACAAGGGCCCCCACTATGACTGTGGTACAAGGGCCCCCACCATGACTGTGGTACAAGGGCCCCCACCATGACTGTGGTACAAGGGCCCCCACCATAACTGTGGTACAAGGGCCCCCTGGTAGAGCACGGGGTTACCGTACAGTGTTGACGACGAGGGCGCCCTCTACCTCGCTATCAGCAGCCGGAGACTGTCCTGGACACCAAAGAAAACATCCGGCAAAATTCAGGACAGACGTCGACCAACGCTGATAAGGAGGATGGTCGCTGATAACCGTTGCCTGACTGTGTCTTGTGCTCCTTACTTCTATATCACCCCAGCTGTGTCTTGTGCTCCCTATATCACCCCAGCTGTGTCCTGTGCTCCCTATATCACCCCAGCTGTGTCCTGTGCTCCCTATATCACCCCAGCTGTGTCCTGTGCTCCCTATATCACCCCAGCTGTGTCCTGTGCTCCCTATATCACCCCCAGCTGCCTCTTGTGCTCCCTATATCACCCCAGCTGTGTCTTGTGCTCCCTATATCACCCCAGCTGTGTCCTGTGCTCCCTATATCACCCCAGCTGCCTCTTGTGCTCCCTATATCACCCCAGCTGTGTCCTGTGCTCCCTATATCACCCCAGCTGCCTCTTGTGCTCCCTATATCACCCCAGCTGTGTCTTGTGCTCCCTATATCACCCCAGCTGTGTCCTGTGCTCCCTATATCACCCCAGCTGTGTCTTGTGCTCCCTCTATCACCCCGTGACCCTTACCTAACCGTGCTACATGAACCAGCCTTCGCGAGTAATTCATCTCATTTTGATGTCAAAATCCCCCCACGGGGGAAAATATCAGGGGCTTTAAATTATAGCGGCGGCACCCAGTCACTTCTTAATGCGTGGCTCCATACATTATCTTGCGCCTTGGCTCTTTCCTCGGGTAATTACTCTATAATTACTTGACCCTAACCTAAATACTCTTCGATTTATCTACTAACTCGCAGCCTGACCTTCTGCTTTTAGCTGCCAGCGTCACTTCTAATACTGGCCGGTGGAGGGGAGCCAGCTGTCGTACCCCCCCTCCCCCCAAATTGTCCTCCTAAGGTCACCCCAACGTCAAGAAACTGTCGTACTAACGTGCCCTATCCTAACATACCAGAGGACCCAAAACAGAAAACGGTATGACAATTTCACGAGCTGGTAACATTTTCTAGTACGACAATTTTTGGGCTTAGGTGAAATATACGTCAAAATGCGACGTACTACTGGGAGGCCGTTTGTTGTGCCAGGGGCTGGAGCCCAGGAGCTGAATATAACCTCGACCATTTAACAGAATTATTATATTTAGCTTCGTTAAACTGCGTCAAGATACGTAGGGTTAAGGTGTTTTAAGGTACGTTGGTTCCAGTTAAATATTTCTTACTGTAGGGCTATACAACATTACAAATAAATATGGTTTACACAAAGTTTGGTTAGTTATCATTTGACCTGTTGCAATTACAATAACTTATTGTAAATTAGGTTACACCTGGTTGATTCAATGACCCTAACATAAGCTGGTGATAAGTAGATCAAAAAGTAGATGTGTGTAGAGAGGAACGTGTGGCTAAAACACATATATTATATTATTGCAATTGTAAGGACCCATAGCCTCGGAGAAGAAAATAAAGAGTACTCAGAGAAGACCTTGTGGATCCTCACTGAACACTGTGATATTTTCTTCTCCTACCACCCCTAGTCTATTAGTGTGTGTGTATATTGACCAGACCACACACTAGAAGTTGAAGGGACGACGACGTTTCAATCGACTTGAGAATGGTCCAGGACGGACCGAAACGTCGTCGTCCCTTCAACTTCTAGTGTGTGGTCTGATCAACATACTTTAGCCACGTTATTGTGACTCGTCGCCTGCGTGTGTGTATATATATCTAACCTTATTTAAAATTTCATTACACAAAAAGGGTTACAACATTGGTTACATGCAAGGTACAAGGCTGCTTGTCACAAGTTGTACAGCTCCTCCAGCTCCTCAGATGGCGGGCAGAAACCATGGATGCAGTGAGCATTTCCTCTCTGGATCGCCACACTAAGGCGCTGAATGAGGAAACTGACAGCTCTAGGGTCTCTAGTTGTTTCACTTAGCTTGGACCCCAGTTCCTTCAAAAAACTTGCAGCACTTTTACCCCAAGCACCAAGTGTCTCCGAGGCAATGGGGACAAAATTGTAGTGGTGATCAAGGTCTCAATATTTACGTGACTTGGCTGCTTCCCTGTGATTGGCAGCACCTCCTGCCTGTGCAGCACTGAAGACAACTATATATTATATTATATATATTTTATGTAACCTGCATGTAACCAATGTTGTAACCCTTTTGTGTAATGAAATTTTAAAACAAAGTTAGACATTATATATATATATATATATATATATATATATATATATATATATATATATATATATATATATATATATATATATATCCTCCTGTTTAGATGGTACCTTTTATAACTATCTGGACCATCGTATACACATAGACGTAATAGATAACTATATAGTAGAATTTGGTACTATTCACCTTATAAGCAGAAAATCAATAAAGTTAAAAACCAAACTTGAATATTCCTAAGCCCTAGTATAAGCCCATATATGTACTATATTAGGCCTCAGATAGCACGTACAAGCTTTGAAAGGTTAGGTTAAGGATAAACTTGCTCGGCAACATTGGTACAAAAACTGTTCCGGTTTGTACAAATTCAGTGGTGCCGATTTCTGCTTTCTAATTGTCCTTTACTAAATATTATGAATAATATTAATAAATAATATTTTGAAATATAATAATATTTTTTGAAATATAATAATAATTTTTGAAATATAATAATAATTTTTGAAATATAATAATAATTTTTGAAATATAATAATAATTTTTGAAATAATAATAATTTTTGAAATATAATAATAATTTTTGAAATATAATAATATTTTTGAAATATAATATATAATAATAATTTTTGAAATATAATAATAATTTTTGAAATATAATAATATTTTTTGTAATAATATTATTATTTTGAAACAATATTAAAATATGAAAAATATTATAAATAAATTGTCCTTTACGTTAATATTAGTACCTAATAGCCAGAACGCACTACTCGGCCTAGTATGCAAGACCCGATTTGCCTAATAGGCAGAGTGATTCTCGTTATTTTCAACACATTGTTTCCTATGGGTTTATTACACTTATTAGTATTATATAATAGTGAGAACAGGAATTACTAAGTTATGTTAGTTTATGTTAGCTTAAGATAGGTAAGGTAAGGTAAGGTAAGGTAAGGTAGGTAAGGTAAGGTTAGGTAAGGTTAGGTAAGGTTAGGTAAGGTAAGGTAAGGTAAGGTTAGGTAAGGTAAAGTAAGGTTAGGTTAGGTAAGGTAAGGTAAGGTAAGGTTAGGTAAGGTAAAGTAAGGTTAGGTAAGGTAAGGTAAGGTTAGGTAAGGTAAGGTAGGGTAAGGTAAGGTAAGGTAAGGTAAGGTTAGGTAAGGTAAGGTAAGGTAAGGTAAGGTTAGGTAAGGTAAGGTAAGGTAAGGTAAGGTAAGGTTAGGTAAGGTAAGGTAAGGTAAGGTAAGGTTAGGTAAGGTAAGGTAAGGTAAGGTTAGGTAAGGTAAGGTAAGGTAAGGTTAGGTAAGGTAAGGTAAGGTAAGGTAAGGTTAGGTAAGGTAAGGTAAGGTAAGGTAAGGTAAGGTTAGGTAAGGTTAGGTAAGGTAAGGTAAGGTAAGGTAAGGTTAGGTAAGGTAAGGTAAGGTAAGATAAGGTAAGGTAAGGTTAGGTAAGGTAAGGTAAGGTAAGGTTAGGTAAGGTAAGGTAAGGTAAGGTAAGGTTAGGTAAGGTAAGGTAAGGTAAGGTAAGGTAAGGTTAGGTAAGGTAAGGTAAGGTAAGGTAAGGTAAGGTTAGGTAAGGTAAGGTAAGGTAAGGTAAGGTAAGGTAAGGTAAGGTTAGGTAAGGTAAGGTAAGGTAAGGTAAAGGTTAGGTAAGGTAAGGTAAGGTAAGGTAAGGTTAGGTAAGGTAAGGTAAGGTAAGGTAAGGTAAGGTAAGGTAAGGTAAGGGTAGAGTAGGTTAAGTCATATTTTTACGTTAATTTTAACTCAATTTAAAAATCAATTAACTCATATAATGTGATGGAAAGTTTTATCATTTCATAACACTTTATTTTTTATATATGAAAAACTTGGCTTATTAAGCATATCGAATCTTGCATAGTAGGCCAAGAAGTGCGTATTTATAGAGTATTGCGTATTAAGACATCACAAAATGAAATGAGTAATGAATAGGTGACGAGTGATGGTCACCTCAGTGTTGAGGTGACGAGTGATGGTCACCTCAGTGTTGAGGTGACAAGTGATGGTCACCTCAGTGTTGAGGTGACGAGTGATGGTCACCTCAGTGTTGAGGTCACCTCAGTGTTGAGGTGACGAGTGATGGTCACCTCAGTGTTGAGGTGACGAGTGATGGTCACCTCAGTGTTGAGGTGACGAGTGATGGTCACCTCAGTGTTGAGGTGACGAGTGATGGTCACCTCAGTGTTGAGGTGACGAGTGATGGTCACCTCAGTGTTGAGGTCACCTCAGTGTTGAGGTGACGAGTGATGGTCACCTCAGTGTTGAGGTCACCTCAGTGTTGAGGTGACGAGTGATGGTCACCTCAGTGTTGAGGTCACCTCAGTGTTGAGGTGACGAGTGATGGTCACCTCAGTGTTGAGGTCACCTCAGTGTTGAGGTGACGAGTGATGGTCACCTCAGTGTTGAGGTGACGAGTGATGGTCACCTCAGTGTTGAGGTGACGAGTGATGGTCACCTCAGTGTTGAGGTGACGAGTGATGGGTTGCTACTGACCCGCTCATCCTTAATGGGGCGTCGACCCCCCATCCGGCGCCCCGGCTGCTGTTGGTGGACCTGGGACGGCATGCTAAGGGACGCCCCGGGCGACGCCGAGCCGTGTGCTCCCCGGATCGACGAGACCCCGCCGCCTCCGCCGGACGACGACGTCGACGAAGACGAGGAATTAGACGTGTGAGGGATCTGGGTGAGTGTGCCGCCTCCCCAGCACTTGCTGTCCACCGAGATGAACGTGTTACCTGTCAACACAACATGTTATCACACACCTGTCTCCCTACATGTGCTCCAACACCTTCCGGTATTCTCTCACTACACTATATATCATCTATATCAGCATATTTGGGCCACAATGTTTCATAATTGGTCATAATGTATTCTCAGGTGGTCTTACACACGGCCTGGTGGGAGGATACTTGGGGGTAGAGGCAGAAGGGTCACACTAGGGAAGAATGTGTAGAGAATGGGAACTATGTGTAGACTTGGGGGAGGGAAGACCCCAGGGGGACCCCAGAGGACCCCAGGGGACCCCATGGGACCCTAGGGGACCCCAGAGGACCCCCCAGGGGGGACCATGAAGAATATGATCACGGCCAATAAACACATAAACGTTAACAGGTTTGGTGGAGACGGCAGGTGGTGGTGGTGTGTGTGTGTGTGTGTGTGTGTGTGTGTGTGTGTGTGTGTGTGTGTGTGTGTGTGTGTGTGTGTGTGTCTGGGGATGAAGCTCTCCCTACCGTAGAGCGCATTTTCACAAGTAAATAAAACCCTTTACCTCTCACAGTGCTGAGGGCAATGAGGGTGGAAAACAGAGGTGACATTGACCCACTTAGTGGGTCACAATAGGTATAATAACCACTCTGGCGTTTGTCCAAGGGACAAATGCCAGTCATGGGTCAAGAGTGTCAAACATATCAAGTGTCAAACATGTCAAGAGTGTCAAACATGTCAATAGTGTCAAACATGTCAAGAGTGTCAAACACGTCAAGAGTGTCAAACATGTCAAGAGTGTCAAACATGTCAATAGTGTCAAACATGTCAAGAGTGTCAAACATGTCAAGAGTGTCAAACATGTCAAGAGTGTCAAACACGTCAAGAGTGTCAAACACGTCAAGAGTGTCAAACACGTCAAGAGTGTCAAACATGTCAAGAGTGTCAAACATGTCAAGAGTGTCAAACATGTCAAGAGTGTCAAACATGTCAAGAGTGTCAAACACGTCAAGAGTGTCAAACACGTCAAGAGTGTCAAACACGTCAAGAGTGTCAAACACGTCAAGAGTGTCAAACATGTCAAGAGTGTCAAACACGTCAAGAGTGTCAAACACTTCAAGAGTGTCAAACATGTCAAGAGTGTCAAACACGTCAAGAGTGTCAAACACGTCAAGAGTGTCAAACACGTCAAGAGTGTCAAACACGTCAAGAGTGTCAAACACGTCAAGAGTGTCAAACACGTCAAGAGTGTCAAACACGTCAAGAGTGTCAAACACGTCAAGAGTGTCAAACACGTCAAGAGTGTCAAACATGTCAAGAGTGTCAAACATGTCAAGAGTGTCAAACACGTCAAGAGTGTCAAACACGTCAAGAGTGTCAAACATGTCAAGAGCGTCAAACACGTCAAGAGTGTCAAACACGTCAAGAGTGTCAAACACGTCAAGAGTGTCAAACACGTCAAGAGTGTCAAACATGTCAAGAGTGTCAAACACGTCAAGAGTGTCAAACACGTCAAGAGTGTCAAACATGTCAAGAGTGTCAAACATGTCAAGAGTGTCAAACATGTCAAGAGTGGTAAAAAGGTTGAAAAAAGGTGGGGATTTATAAAGGTGTTGGAGATGACGGAGGTGAAAGGAGCCGGTGTAACGCCCCGCTGGCACAAGTATTATTAATGTGGTGAACATGTGTACAATGAAAGGATGACACGATGGTAAAGTGTACAAAATACGAAACTTTTAAATAAATTCCATATTAAAGGCCATATTCATTCACTGGGAAGGTCACTGTGTACTGTATGGTACAGTGGTCACTGTGTACTGTATGGTACAGTGGTCACTGTGTACTGTATGGTACAGTGGTCACTGTGTACTGTATGGTACAGTGGTCACTGTGTACTGTATGGTACAGTGGTCACTGTGTACTGTATGGTACAGTGGTCACTGTGTACTGTATGGTACAGTGGTCACTGTGTACTGTATGGTACAGTGGTCACTGTGTACTGTATGGTACAGTGGTCACTGTGTACTGTATGGTACAGTGGTGGAGGTCACAGTGTACTGTATGGTACAGTGGTGGAGGTCACTGTGTACTGTACGGTACAGTGGAGGTCACTGTGTACTGTATGGTACAGTGGTGGAGGTCACTGGGTACTGTATGGTACAGTGGTCACTGTGTACTGTACGGTACAGTGGTGGAGGTCACTGTGTACTGTACGGTACAGTGGTGGAGGTCACAGTGTACTGTATGGTACAGTGGTGGAGGTCACTGTGTACTGTATGGTACAGTGGTGGAGGTCACTGTGTACTGTATGGTACAGTGGTGGAGGTCACTGTGTACTATACGGTACAGTGGAGGTCACTGTGTACTGTATGGTACAGTGGTGGAGGTCACTGTGTACTGTATGGTACAGTGGTGGAGGTCACTGTGTACTGTATGGTACAGTGGTGGAGGTCACAGTGTACTGTATGGTACAGTGGTGGAGGTCACTGTGTACTGTATGGTACAGTGGTGAAGGTCACTGTGTACTGTATGGTACAGTGGTGGAGGTCACAGTGTACTGTATGGTACAGTGGTGGAGGTCACAGTGTACTGTATGGTACAGTGGTGGAGGTCACAGTGTACTGTATGGTACAGTGGTGGTCACTGGGTACTGTATGGTACAGTGGTGGAGGTCACAGTGTACTGTATGGTACAGTGGTGGAGGTCACAGTGTACTGTATGGTACAGTGGTGGAGGTCACAGTGTACTGTATGGTACAGTGGTGGAGGTCACTGTGTACTGTATGGTACAGTGGTGGAGGTCACTGTGTACTGTATGGTACAGTGGTGAAGGTCACTGTGTACTGTACGGTACAGTGGTGGAGGTCACTGTGTACTGTATGGTACAGTGGTGGAGGTCACTGTGTACTGTATGGTACAGTGGTGGAGGTCACTGTGTACTGTACGGTACAGTGGTGGAGGTCACTGTGTACTGTATGGTACAGTGGTGGAGGTCACTGTGTACTGTATGGTACAGTGATGGAGGTCACTGTGTACTGTACGGTACAGTGGTGGAGGTCACTGTGTACTGTATGGTACAGTGGTGGAGGTCACTGTGTACTGTATGGTACAGTGGTGAAGGTCACTGTGTACTGTACGGTACAGTGGTGGAGGTCACTGTGTACTGTATGGTACAGTGGTGGAGGTCACTGTGTACTGTATGGTACAGTGGTGGAGGTCACAGTGTACTGTATGGTACAGTGGTGGTCACTGGGTACTGTATGGTACAGTGGTGGAGGTCACTGTGTACTGTATGGTACAGTGGTGGAGGTCACTGTGTACTGTATGGTACAGTGGTGGAGGTTACTGTGTACTGTATGGTACATTGGTGGAGGTCACTGTGTACTGTACGGTACAGTGGTGGAGGTCACTGTGTACTGTATGGTACAGTGGTGGAGGTCACTGTGTACTGTACGGTACAGTGGTGGAGGTCACTGTGTACTGTATGGTACAGTGGTGGAGGTCACTGTGTACTGTATGGTACAGTGGTGGAGGTCACTGTGTACTGTATGGTACAGTGGTGGAGGTCACTGTGTACTGTATGGTACAGTGGTGGAGGTCACTGTGTAATGTATGGTACAGTGGTGGAGGTCACTGTGTACTGTATGGTACAGTGGTGGAGGTCACTGTGTACTGTACGGTACAGTGGTGGAGGTCACTGTGTACTGTATGGTACAGTGGTGGAGGTCACTGTGTACTGTATGGTACAGTGGTGGAGGTCACTGTGTACTGTATGGTACAGTGGTGGAGGTCACTGTGTAATGTATGGTACAGTGGTGGAGGTCACTGTGTACTATATGGTACAGTGGTGGAGGTCACTGTGTACTGTATGGTACAGTGGTGAAGGTCACTGAGTACTGTATGGTACAGTGGTGGAGGTCACTGTGTACTGTACGGTACAGTGGTGGAGGTCACTGTGTACTGTATGGTACAGTGGTGGAGGTCACTGTGCACTGTACGGTACAGTGGTGGAGGTCACTGTGTACTGTATGGTACAGTGGTGGAGGTTACTGTGTACTGTATGGTACAGTGGTGGAGGTCACTGTGTACTGTATGGTACAGTGGTGAAGGTCACTTTGTACTGTACGGTACAGTGGTGGAGGTCACTGTGTACTGTACGGTACAGTGGTGGAGGTTACTGTGTACTGTATGGTACAGTGGTGGAGGTCACTGTGTACGGTATTGTACAGTGGTGGTCACTGGGTACTGTATGGTACAGTGGTGGAGGTCACTGTGTACTATATGGTACAGTGGTGGAGGTCACTGTGTACTGTATGGTACAGTGGTGGAGGTCACTGTGTACTGTATGGTACAGTGGTGGAGGTCACTGTGTACTGAATGGTACAGTGGTGAAGGTCACTGTGTACTGTATGGTACATGGTGATGAGGGTCACTGTGTACTGTATGGTACAGTGGTGAAGGTCACTGTGTACTGTACGGTACAGTGGTGGAGGTCACTGTGTACTGTACGGTACAGTGGTGGAGGTCACTGTGTACTGAATGGTACAGTGGTGAAGGTCACTGTGTACTGTATGGTACATGGTGATGAGGGTCACTGTGTACTGTATGGTACAGTGGTGAAGGTCACTGTGTACTGTACGGTACAGTGGTGGAGGTCACTGTGTACTGTATGGTACAGTGGTGAAGGTCACTGTGTACTTTATGGTACAGTGGTGCAGGACACTGGGGGGGGACACATACCTGCTGTGGGCTGGACTAGAGGGGGGACACAGCCAGGCAGAGGGTGAGGACACTGGGGGGGTTGAGGACACTGGGGGGGGGACACATACCTGCTGTGGGCTGGACTAGAGGGGGGACACAGCCAGGCAGAGGGTGTGGACACTGGGGGGGGGGTGAGGACACTGGGGGGGGGGACACATACCTGCTGTGGGCTGGACTAGAGGGGGGACACAGCCAGGCAGAGGGTGAGGACACTGGGGGGGGGACACATACCTGCTGTGGGCTGGACTAGAGGGGGGACACAGCCAGGCAGAGGGTGAGGACACTGGGGGGGGTGAGGACACTGGGGGGGGGACACATACCTGCTGTGGGCTGGACTAGAGGGGGGACACAGCCAGGCAGAGGGTGAGGACACTGGGGGGGACACATACCTGCTGTGGGCTGGACTAGAGGGGGGACACAGCCAGGCAGAGGGTGAGGACACTGGGGGGGGGACACATACCTGCTGTGGGCTGGACTAGAGGGGGGACACAGCCAGGCAGAGGGTGAGGACACTGGGGGGGGTGAGGACACTGGGGGGGGGACACATACCTGCTGTGGGCTGGACTAGAGGGGGGGACACAGCCAGGCAGAGGGTGAGGACACTGGGGGGGGGTGAGGACACTGGGGGGGGGGGACACATACCTGCTGTGGGCTGGACTAGAGGCGGGACGAAGCCGGCCTGGTTGGTGTGGGTCTCCGGCTGTGGCAGAGTAGAGAGCTCTAAGAAGGTCTGCTCAATGTTCCTGAGGGTGGTGGGCGTGAGCGTGGGCGTGGTGCGGGTGGGCACACCGCTGTGGACGCCTTCCAGGGAGTTGAGCTGGTGCCACCACGAGAGAGAGAGAGAATGGAATTACTCAATTGATTCATCACTCTTATAGTACATTAATTCATCACCGCTATAGTGTATATACTCCATCACTACAAGGGGCTATATTACAGCATTTGTTCATCACAGCACCTTGACTGGTTCACCTAAAGTGCCCAAACTTTGTTAACAAAACAACACTTTGTTTTGCCCGAAGCGCAAAGCTTTGTTTTGCCCGAAGCGCAAAGCTTTGTTTTGCCCGAAGCGCAAAGCTTTGTTTTGCCCGAAGCGCAAAAAGCCACTAGTATTAGTGGCTTTAGGTATTGTATGTACTATTTCTATCTTGAAATCTAACAGAATGTTTGTACTGTAACGCTGCAAATAAGTATGTACTGTTCCTAAATAAATTATTATTATTATTATTGCTACTATATTGCCTCGACTATCTTAGGGGCAGCACTTCAACACGAGTCAGATGAAATGTTATATTACTAGCCGTTATGTCCCCCGCCCCCTGCATGCCTAGGCTGTTGTTATATTACTAGCCGTTATGTCCCCCGTCCCCTGCATGCCTAGGCTGTTGTTATATTACTAGCCGTTATGTCCCCCGTCCCCTGCATGCCTAGGCTGTTGTTATATTACTAGCCGTTATGTCCCCCGCCCCCTGCATGCCTAGGCTGTTGTTATATTACTAGCCGTTATGTCCCCCGTCCCCTGCATGCCTAGGCTGTTGTTATATTACTAGCCGTTATGTCCCCCGTCCCCTGCATGCCTAGGCTGTTGTTATATTACTAGCCATTATGTCCCCCGTCCCCTGCATGCCTAGGCTGTTGGTAGGCTATTTAAATCACGTTGACGTACTATGCCTGCTACATGAAGTGTGTATTCAGAGTCTGGTTGATCCGAACTAGGCCTTGTAGCCCCAGACTGTCGCGATAAAGCTCTTTTTTCTGTTTGTCTTACAAGTTTGTGTACAAGTTCTACTTACTTCATAGGCTACGCAAATTCCTGTAACTTTGTTATATTAAGTGTAAGTCTCAGCATTCAAATTTGATGTTTTTTTTTAAATGATTTTAAAAGAACATTTAATTACAATGGTAACCATGGGCCGTGTGTGGTTTTGTCTTTCATGGTCACAGCTCGAGGTATTTCAGTACAATACTTAATAGGCTATTCACCACTCATTCACGGGCGATTAGACGGCATTTACAAGCTAAAGTTAGTTACGTCACACACATGTGTGTTGTAATACATGCTAAGTGTTACGTACAGGTTGTGGAGTCTTATCACCAATTGAAATTGAAATAAGTTTATTGAGGTAAAATACACGCAAAGGGATGAGGTAGCTCAAGCTATTCTCACCCCGTTCAGTACATCGTGTTAATACATACATATACACTCATCACAAACAATAAACATATTACCAAACATTCTGAGAGATAAACATATACATTTCCTACTTATCACCAAGTGTTCCTGTAGTGTGATCATACTGTCCCGGAAACACAAACCGTAACTGTCTCTATTTTCCGCTTGTTACAACTTGAAATAAAGTTGTTACATCTTGGCTTAACGTGTTTTTGACGTATTAGAACGTTGTTACAACTTACTATATTGGTTTTTATAACTGGTTAGGAGGTGTTGAAACTTGTTCGAACGTTGTAGCAACGTCGCAGTTTCGGTATGTGTTTGGCGGGTTAATTATACGTAGGCTCAAGCCAGAAGGCCGCACATGTGGGACTTCTATATAATGTTCACAAGTGTGTTTTCTGTTGCACAAAGTTGACTGTGTATTTAACACTTAAGTGTTAGGAAGGAAATTATGAGTGGAAAGCGCCAAGGGACTATAGCACTTGGAAGGGGTAAGGCAGCCCGTCCTCTAAACAAAAGCTATAGTCCATTCCATGCACCAGCCAAACCCACTGTTTATGAGTGAAAACAATTTACACACGACTCTACGGATTTCATTCGAACACTTCCGAAACAAGTGCTTCACTGACGAATTTTGTTCGAACCACAACGCTGTAAATGCTTCACCCACGTACTACAAATAATCGCCAACAGAACCTAAACACCTAACCTAACCTATGCCTATATATGCACAATATACTAATATATTATAATATTAATATATATTTGAGAAAATTCCCGTTTTGAATTAACAGCATGTCAAAATTGTACCATCAAAAATTGACGGGTTGCAGGTCATTGTACCACCTGTCAGGTCACTGTACCACCTGCCAAGTCACTGTACCACCTGCCAGGTCACTGTACCACCTGCCAGGTCACTGTACCACCTGCCAGGTCACTGTACCACCTGCCAGGTCACTGTACCACCTGCCAGGTCACTGTACCACCTGCCAGGTCACTGTACCACCTGCCAGGTCACTGTACCACCTGCCAAGGTCACTGTACCACCTGCCAAGTCACTGTACCACCTGAGAAGTCACTGTACCACCTGCCAGGTCACTGTACCACCTGTCAAGGTCACTGTACCACCTGTTAGGTCACTGTACCACCTGCCAGGCCACTGTACCACCTGCCAGGTCACTGTACCACCTGCCAAATCACTGTATCACCTGCCAGGCCACTGTACCACCTGCCAAATCACTGTACCACCTGCCAGGCCACTGTACCACCTGTCAGGTCACTGTACCACCTGCCATGCCACTGTACCACCTTCCAGGTCACTGTACCACCTGCCAGGCCACTGTACCACCTGCCAGGTCCCTGTACCACCTGCCAGGTCCCTGTACCACCTACCAGGTCACTGTACCACCTGCCAGGTCACTTGGTATGATACCCGGTGAGTTCACTGAAAGAAGTGAACTCTGGGAGTCGCGTCAAGGGATACCACCACCTTCGGCTTTCAGAAATTTAGAGGCCGCGTCGGCCCCATACCTGCAGGCTCGGGTTGGGTCGTACAGCCCAGTCGTTGGCATCCTTCACGGGTGGCACAGTGTTGGGGCGCAGTGTTGGGGCACAGTGTTGGGGCGCAGTGTTGGGGCACAGTGTTGGGGCGCAGTGTTGGGGCACAGTGTTGGGGCGCAGTGTTGGGGCACAGTGTTGGGGGCCCCGGGCCCGTTATGGGGGAGGGGGGGGGCGGCAAATCCTAGGTTTGCGTCAGGAGTTGCGTCCACGCTTATCAAGTCGATCACCTTATCTTATTATGGTGTAACCTACACTACTGGTACTGGGTCACAATGTGACCTACACTACTGGTACTGAGTCACAGTGACCTACACTACTGGTACTGGGTCACAATGTGACCTACACTACTGGTACCGGGTCACAGTGACCTACACTACTGGTACTGGGTCACAATGTGACCTACACTACTGGTACTGAGTCACAGTGACCTACACTACTGGTACTGGGTCACAGTGACCTACACTACTGGTACTGGGTCACAGTGACCTACACTACTGGTACTGGGTCACAGTGACCTACACTACTGGTACTGGGTCACAGTGACCTACACTACTGGTACTGGGTCACAGTGACCTACAATACTGGTACCGGGTCACAATGACCTACACTACTGGTACCGGGTCACAATGACCTACACTACTGGTACCGGGTCACAGTGACCTACACTACTGGTACTGGGTCACAGTGACCTACACTACTGGTACCGGGTCACAGTGACCTACACTACTGGTACCGGGTCACAGTGACCTACACTACTGGTACCCGCGTCACAGTGACCTACACTACTGGTACTGGGTCACAGTGACCTACACTACTGGTACTGGGTCACAGTGACCTACACTACTGGTACTGGGTCACAGTGACCTACACTACTGGTACTGGGTCAGTGACCTACACTACTGGTACTGGGTCACAGTGACCTACAATACTGGTACTGGGTCACAGTGACCTACACTACTGGTACCGGGTCAGTGTGACCTTCACAAACCTTCAACTGGTCCATTTCGAGACAACAAACACTCGCTTGAGAGCCCAACCACCCTGACCTAAGCAAGTCTATCTCGGCCACAAATTGTCAATGTTAAAATAATATCATTTAGAATTATTTACTCATAATCACTATGTATGACTTGGTGTACAGGACGAGCGAATCACCCAAGTTATGGCTTCAACCCATATGGTAACTTAGCATACATTAATCTTAGTATTTACCAGAAATATTTACATATGGGCTTCATAAAGAACCTCATATGTAAACATTTTAATTACACCCTTTGAAATATTTTGTTTTATAAACGATCAGAAGTAATATTATTAAACCCTGGTGCGGCAGCCCGTCCTCCTAAGGTTCCCCCAACGTCAAGAAACTGTCGTACTAACGTGCCCTTATCCTAACCTACCAGAGGACCCAAAACAGAAAACGGGACAGTATGGAAAAAATGGTCCGCTATGGGCTCACCATAGCCCGTACTACTTGGAACTTTTTGTTCCGAGTAGCTGAATCTTAAACAACAACAAACGGAATAATAATATGTCAATTTCGTGAGTCGCTACCATTTTTGGCCTTACGTAGAGTTTGGGTCAAAATGCAAAATATATATTATATATATTATATATATATATTATATATATTATATATATATATATATTATATATATATTATATATATATATATATATATATATAAATATATTATATATATATATATATATATATATATATATATATATATATATATATATATATATATATATATATATATATATATATATATATATATATATATAATATGTCGTACCTAGTAGCCGAACGCACTTCTCAGCCTACTATGCAAGGCCCGATTTGCCTAATAAGCCAAGTTTTCATGAATTAATGTCTTTTCGACTACCTAACCTACCTAACCTAACCTAACCCAACTTTTTCAGATACCTAACCTAACCTAACCTATAAAGATAGGTTAGGTTAGGTAGGGTTGGTTAGGTTCGGTCATATATCTGCGATAATTTTAACTCCAATAAAAAAAATTGACCTCATACGTAATGAAATGGGTAGCTTTATCATTTCATAAGAAAAAAATTC